TAATTAATGACAACATTTTAATTTTTGGGTGAACTAACCCTTTAACACTGGGTTAACGTCTTTTTTAACCATAGATTAAGGCCACTTTTAACCTTGGTTTAACACATTTTTACTCACTAAATTGTAAAAAGAATTCTAAAAAGAAGGTTGACAAATTGATTTTAACTCAATGCTAACACCAAGTTGCTGTGCTAAAGACAATATTGTGAATCACTAACCTAGAAACCCAGCAACAGAATAAGAAAAAAAAGTAAAAATAACCCAGGGTTAACTATTTCAGTGTGGAAAGCACATAGATATATATATATATATAAAAAGAAAACTTTGGGTTAGCTAGCTACAGAGCATTGTTTTGCAGCACAACTTCAATATAAAGTGTGGTCACACAAGTGGCATTTTGACGGAAATTTGTGGACAAAAAAGGTCCTCTGTCTATGGTAAATAGTGTAGAGATATATAAAACACACCTCACACAGACGTCATTTTCAAACAAAGCAGCTTTCTGTCGGACAGTGTGGCAAATTCTCACGAACAGCCTGAAACTATTGCAAAATCTGCAAGCTAAAATTCCTGATCGTGAGAATTCCTGTTGTAATGAATGTATTAAGCCCGCAAAACTTCAAACAACGTTAAATGTGACCGTACTTTAAAACTTGCTATTTTGGGATGTTAAGTTGTCATCAGTGTAGACGTAGAATCAGTGGCTTCTAATTCATAACATCTACGATAATGATCGCAATAGACCTGGTAAATTTTGGTCAACATTTTACATTCTCTGGTGTTTATCAGAGAATGTCACATTTCACATCTGCACTTTAAAACATTTAAAGGTGTCTTTTTAAGAGCTGGATACACAATTTCCATCTAGAAGGTCTTAAATGGGCAGTGGGAATGGCACAGAAAGATTTGCTTTGTGTTAGCATTGGCTGAGAGAATAAAGGGGGTGGTGCCAACCAGAAGGGATTGGTTTCCACAGGGATTGGCTCTCGGAAGCCACGGGCCAAAGGTCGCTCACTCGCCGATCCATCTGCCAGGCGGCATCTGCGGACATTAGCCAATGATATCACACCACGGAAAAGCAAAGCTCAACGGAAAGCTTAATTGCCATGTATTAGGGTTAGAAAACTGGTCACTGGATCATTTTAATGTGGTTATAGACGGCTGAGAAGCTTTATATTGAGACACAGATGAATATGATCAGATTCAGCAACATGAAAGTACATTTAACTCATTGTACCACATTTGTGTGCATGATAAACTCACATTGTAGGGTTCCTGGGGAAAGTATGTCCTCGTCCATGTCGTCTAGGTCATCGGATAGCAGTAGGTGTTGGGGTACAGCGGGGCGTATGCCCAGGAAAGCAGGGTCCAGGTTGAGGGCAGAGGCCAGAGATGACATGCCAGGGTTATTAACAATATTAAACCCCGTCAGAATCTCAATTTGCTGCCATCGATGAAGCTTTTCTCTTAGAGCTGCGGTCACTTCTCCCAGAGCCTGTCTGCAGAAGTTAGAGAGAAAGAGAGGTGAGGTTTGGTTTCGTTGCTCTACACTCTAAAAATAAAGGTCCTTATCTATTATTCCATGAAGAACATCCATGGAACCCTTCCATTCCACAAAAGGTTCTTTATAGTGGATTAAAGGTTCTTCAGATTAATAAAAAGTTCACATTAAGAAACAAATGGCTCTTTTAAGGACTTCTCATTGAAAGGTTTTTTGGGAACCAAAAATGGTTCTTTAATAGCATTGCTGCAAAAAACACTCTCTCTGGAACCTTTATTTTTAATGGTGTATTTTTAATTATTTTTAACTATTAATTTTTAACAGGTCTTTATTTCAGCTTGCACATTACATCCAAAAATGGTAAGAGCGACTCACTTGGCTGAGAGGATTTTGTGATCAACATCGTCCAGTGAAGAGCTGTGGGCCACGTGGAACGTCCCAAAGAGTGTTCCTCTCTTCTTCTTGATTTTTTCTGCCTGTTATAGTGGTCACAACATCATAGTTAACAGCACTACTTAGATGTTCAGCTCGTGGAACAGGCAAACTAGATTTAATATTCAGTTAAAGCTAGTAATCTGTGAGTATTTGACCGTCTCACCCCTTCTTTAGCCACTATGAGCTGTCTTTCTGCTTGCTGTTTCTTAATGTTGTAGTACTGCACTTCCACCTCGTGTGTGAGCTGCAGCCATTTCTGCAGAGCTTCAGGAGGAGCCCAGCCACTCCTCAACTCCAGCTCCCTCTCAGCCTTCTTCAGAGCCATTCGCACCTAAAACAAACACACAAACTCATTAATATTGGCTGCAGGAGGGAGGATGTTTTGAGGAGGGAATTGTGTAAAACCTCTTCTGTGCCACTTCAGCAGTTCCCATGGTGATGGGACACCTTTAAGGTGAATGTTGCTGGCAAGTCAATGGTGGAAAAAAAGCACTACTTTTCAACAAAATAAATCTAAGGGCAGGAACTACACATAGAAATGATAACTTTAGTTGAATTTCATAATAGTGCTGTCAAAAGATTTTAAAAAAAAATTGCAAATTTTTTTCTGAAATTAATCACGATTAATCCAACCTAATATTTAAGTTTTTAAATATTAAATATTCATTTCAAATATAGCCATTCAACATTACAGTATAATTGAGAGCTATCAATTTTAACATTTATTAGACTTTCAAAAATAACTTCTAATTTAAGTGAACTTAAAACAATCTACACATACAGTAAACTTTAGCAAGTAGGAAATATACAGAAATGGAATACCGTTATCAAACACTAAATTCTAAATTAAATATACATGAATCCTTAAAGCTACAAAATTATTGATTTCCTCTTTTTTTCTTTCGTTCTTTGATTAACAGACATCACAGCAGCTGGGTTATTAGGTTATTTGGCTGCTATTACTTTAAGAGCTGCTGCTGCTGCTGAACATGACACGGATCTGACACGCATCTTATTTTCTCACAAACATTTACCTTTTCTGACCCACTTCAGGTCTTAACGTCTCTACTAATGAGCTGTTTGTTAGATGAGGGAGACAGTGCTGGGCTGCTCCAGGATACTTACATGCATGCACAGTTTTAAGGCAGCTTTAATGGCCTTTTTTGGTACCTTCATGACTTAGCTGATGACATAAATACCTCTGTTACGGGCTGTCAAGCATAAAGAGTGCACGACGAAGGAGTCCAAGTAAGATCTTTTAATAAACCAACAGGGAGAAAACAAGAACATCCATAATCCAAAACAATAGCAGACACCGAACTGCTGAAGACACAGGGTTTAAATACATGGAAAACGTAATCAAGATGAAAACAGGACAGGTGTGGAGTCAAATAACAACTAAGGGAACAAACTAGGGAACTAATGCAGGGGAACAGAGTGTGAACAGAGTGCAACATCTGTGTGTGCAATTGAAGAGCACATACTATGAGCATAGTATAACGGGCAGGAAAATTGGTTTTTACTGATATATGACCTGACAACATCTCATCTGACTGCAGTTAAATGTTGTTCTACAGAAGCTCCCTCGTCACCTGTAACTTTTCCTCAATCGTTTGACTAGCGCCTGATGGTGAGGCAAAGTTGGAGGGCACGTCTGAAAAGTCTCCCGTTTGATGTGGTCGTAAATGCATTATGCGTCTAAATAAACGCTATTCTTGTCAAGAAAAAAAGAGACAGAAGCAGCACTTGTGAGTGGGGTGGCCAACTCTGCATTAATTGCGTTAAATATTTTTAAAGCCGTGAAATTTCATAATTTTGACTTTCTGCTATATTTTGCACTCAAATAATAGATTGTTTTACATTTTTTATCTTATGAATTGATTTTTTAAAAATTCTATGCATTTCATTTCGTAATTGTATTTTTAATCAATTTTAGTTTTAAATTTTTTTTAAATTTGCTGATACCTATAACTTAAATCTATGAGAAACTATGAGGATGTCCAAACATGTTGCTAATAAGCGAACAGTGAAAAGAGGCATGTGTTTCAACATAAAACATGCTATTTATATTTACAAGGGATTGAAAGAAAAACAGGAAAAAAGCATCCTCTTGAAATGTTTAAACAAAATAAATTTAAGGGGATGTTTTACAGTTTTAACTAAATGTTTAAACAACATGTTGATAAGAGTTTTAACAATTACCAAAAAAAAGTCTACAGACTATACAAAACATTTTTTTGTGTAAAACTGTGCACATTTAATGAGACAATGCCTCATTTGCATATTTGAAATAAATGTGGTAAAAGTTGCCTCTGGCAAGGTTTCATTTTGATAAAAGGAAAGAAAAAAACATCTTCTCGCAAGTTGTACCTACTGTTAATAAGGCCTTGTGATACCTGTTCCAGCTCCTGCTCTGCATATTTCTGTCTGCTCAACTTGTTCTCAGTTCCCTCACGCAGTTCTCGTAGTCTTTGTGCCTCCTGCTTGGCTGCATCAATCTCGCTTCGCATCTCCCGCTCCAGGTTGACCTTCTCCTCCTCCACCATGTGATGCTCTTCCTGTGCAATCTGCAGCCTAAACAGAAGCACATCATCAATCTCAAACTGAACCACCATGGATTTGTTACTTAACCAACAAGATAATATAGTTTCCCTCAATCACCAGCAGGTGGCGCACTGGACAAATGAGCAGACATGAAAAGGGAACTGGATCTGCAAGACTCTACCACACCTCTTCCTTCTCATGAAAAGACAGCTGAACAAGATGTGGCCTGTTCAGTGTGGTAATTCTGTGTTGAAACGTCCTTACAGCTTTACAGGGAAATCTCACCTCTCAGCTACGAGTTTCCGGGACATGGATGGCTAAATTTAGATATTCATGTGGCTTAATGATGCACTTGGTTGACAAGAAGTCTTCAGTTCAATTTAAATGATTGAAATCAGCTTTGTTTGACATATATGTGATATTATCACACAGTCTATGTATATCTCCTTTATTAGTCAAAGAAATTAGAAGAAAAGAAAAAGAGGGTGGGGGAACATAAAAGTGGAGAGGGCTGATCAGTGCACTGGATAGCCTTCTCTCCTGCTGACATAGTCCCAGTTCAAACAGGAGGTGAGGTATAAATCACAGTGGCCAAGGCAGAGTGTAACACTCACTCATAACACTCTGGGAGGGAGAGCATAAGATAAATGAAAAGGAAGGAAACTAACAGTAGAGGACAACTACAAAAGTTCACAAGGTAAAAAAAAACTTGACAGACAGACTAAATAGATAGATAGCTAGCTAGCTAGATAGATAGATA